GGGGAAAATGCCAGAGAGCTTTTATTTTTATATCAGCAAAAGTAGCATATTTTGGGCATAATTCTTCGGCTATTGGATCAGCCTAAGGTCCTAAGATTGGCGAATTCAAATTAAGTACTTTCCTCTAAAGAGCAATAGTTTGAAATAGGTCTTTACACTGGGGCCAGGGTGAGATGCTTGTCTCAGCTCTCAATTGAGGAATCAGTGCCTCCTAAAAGTCTGACGTGCAATTTCTTGCTTCCAAATGGCAGAGTCCCTTCCCAGCTTAGGTAGTTACTTTATTATAGTCTTGCTCATTCATACCGTCCCTAAAGCAATACGAAGCAATATAAACGGTGTTTATTTATTCGGAACTCTATATCCCATAACATTAAATTTGGAAGCTTAACATTTAACCATCTGGCTGCACTAAACCCTTCCGTAGCTGGATAACAATGGGCTGAAAGTTTACTAAGTTCACTAAAAGATTTTCACTGGATTTACAAAACACCTTAATTTAATTTAAATGATCCGGCTGGGATCATTTAAAACAAAAACGTTCTATCTCAATACAGGTAGCATCCAATTCACAGTCCTCTTATCACTTGCATATAAGGATCTTAGTCTGACCTGTCTCCCTTCTCCCCATGGGGGAACAGGGTCTCCCTAACATGACCATAGGAATCTGGTGGGAAAAATTCCATAGGAACTATGTGGGCTTCGAAAATTGGAGAAGGGATAACTGGGAAGAGCCAGGGGGAGCTGACCCAGGGGCAGAATCCCAGGCAAAACTGACCTGCCTACGTGCTGACCAACCAAATGACTGCAGGGCCCAAAATAGCCTCCTACCAGGACTGCATTTCTTTCACTCTCCGTATTATGTTGTGCTGCTTGAAATTCCACCATTTAGAGCAGCATCTTGGCAGAGGCTGAAGTAAAAGACTGTGGTGGGAGAAAAGGCGCTCATTGGGTACGTGGCCAGGGGAGGAGGGGGACATTGCAAGTAGACGGGTGACAAAATAACCACTATAATACTTATCTCTGGGCTTTACAAAGCATTCTTTCATTTAACCTTCACAGCAACCTCATGAGGCAGGCATACTATTATCCCTATTTTATAGATGAAGAAACTGAGGTTTCAGAGATGTTAAGTAACAACAGCTGATTAAGTGGCAAGGCTGGGATGCAAACCACAGCCTGATCTGAATGTATGACTTTGAGCCCTTATTTGTTGAGACTCCCTGATTTCTCGCTCTTTGCCCTCCTTCTGCAGGTTAAGGGACCTGGAACCTCAGGAAGAGACTCTAGCCTAATAATGCTGTGAATTATATTTCAGTTATGGCATAGTTTACATAGATTTTTATGGACTAGCCTGGAAACTTGAGAGCTTGATTTATAGGATTGTTTCTACAGGCAATTTTGTGACTTGCTACCAAACTGATGGAATATAATCCCATTATATGACAACAAATTGTGGACTACCTGTAATTATAGTTTAACCATCTTTTATGTTTCTTCTAGTTGGCTCCCAGTCATACAAAATGCCCACTTCACCAGCCCAAGGTTCTTCGTGTTTAGTTTTAGCTTACCAAATTGGACCACACATCATCCATTTACTAGATAGCATCTTCCATGAAGCAGGGGCTTCTGGCTATTATGTGTATCAAGGATTCCCTAGCACCTAGGACAGTGCCTGACATATGCAGGCACACATCAGTTATTATTTGTTAAATGAACATGTGCTTTTAGGTCGCAGATTTTTAAAACCACATGCACTTTATACTTTCCCTTGTGAAACACACTTGGAGCTGTCACACACAGCTGAGTCTGGCATGTGACTATGATTAACTAATAAATTCTGACAGCCTTGTGCAAAATAGTTTTACTCATTAGTTGAAGACCTTCCTCCACAAGAAGTGTTTTCCCCCTAGAATGCTCTGCACACATTTCAGTGGTTTGGGGAAACTCTGGTCCCAGCTTCAGCTGACCTGCCTCCTTGCCATGTAGAACTCTGGCACTTGGACAAGCTGCCTTATCTCTTCAGGCTGGAGGACCATAAGGAGTTTCCTTTCAGCTCTAACATGCTATGACAACTGTGAGTTTCACATTCTAGATTCTTCATGCCTGCTCTAATCGCCCCTTGGGGAAGATACTGGCAAAAAGCAAAATAAAAGAACCAAGAGAGCTAAAGGGCAAAGTCTTGGATGCCCCCAAAGGAAAATCACAAGTCCTTGAGTTTAGACAAACTTGAAGTTGCTATGGGAGGCAGCCACAGTTCATTTAATACTTTATAGCCAACCTCTAGGGAAGCAAGGGAGCCGATTATGATTTCTATTTGGTTAGTTCATCCTAGGAATAGAATTCTGGCTGTTTCATTTACATCGGAACCAACAGAACACATTCAACCTCAAGGGTGAGTGTGTGGATGGGGTACAGTCCAGTCCCCTTTGAATAGCACAGAATCACATTAAGGTGACATGAAAGACCTGTTGCTTAATCACTAAGTTGCAAGCATTTGAAAAGAAGAGTGGCCAGTATTTATGGTACTTTATGTTTTCAAAGGGAATGAATGACTTAATGTTTTTCTACATAAGCCTTAACCAGTTGCATGGTGTACAACGCAGGATATAAATGTCAGCTCTGCGACAGGGGTGTGTTGACATGGTGAAGTGTTAAAAGTCTGCACACTGTCATTATTCTGCCTCCCCTGCACTGACAGCTTGCTACTGAATTGAACATACCTGGAAAGAAGTCAATCTGGCTTAGAATGCAGCTCAGTTTCTCTTTGGGAACGTTTCTCTTTCAAGTTTCCTCTGGGATCTACTGGGTCTTCCCATAGATAAAACAGAATTGGGTATGTTCTGCTGGTTCAAATGTAAATAGAGTAGTCAGAATCTTGTCCATTGATGACTTAGCATCAGTTTTGGAAAAGGGAAGTAATCTCCCTTTCCCCACAACATGCCCCCCCAACGCATACACCAATCAGGAGGATTAATACTACCTTGCTTGCTTTGTGACTGGTGGTACCTTATATGAGGCCCAGATTTTCTTAGGGTATTATCGGTCATAGAGATTCAACCCTGACTGCACATTAGACTCACCTGGGGAACATCTAAATCTCCAGCTGCCCCAGCCAATTAAATCAGAAGCTCTCAGGGTGAGCCCCAGCATCAGTAAGTCATTAAAGTTCCCCAGGTTATTCCACTGTGCAGGGGTCTCTTCTTATGAGTCTCTTCCCAAAGGATAGTTAGGGCAAGGGCATGAAAGCCAGGGGTCACATCTCATAGCCATTGGCATTTTGAAGTGAAAAGGTCTCCCTTTACTGTACAGTTTTAAATTGTTTGTTGCATTCTCAAGTAAATAAATCACTTCTCCAAAGTCACAGTTAGTTGAGAGCAGAGCCAGAACCAGGAGCCAGCATTAAATAAGCCTAGGTAGACAGGGTACTGAAATGCTAACTAAATCTCCATGAATTAATCAGCGTCAGCACCAGGCAGTCCTTTTTCCCTCCTTCCTGTCCTAGTTAGAGAACTATTATCTACTGCTGTGTTCCTGTTCCTCAGGCCTAGGTTGTATGAATGAATGCAAAGCCACTTAGCTCTCATGGGCACTGTTCTGAAGACAATGGTATAAAGGGCATTTTACATTTAAGTTTCTATGGGAGAAACATTTATAGAGACTGAGATGGAAATGTGTGGTTGAAACCAAATAGGTTTATACAGTACAACTAATTGTCAGAAACTCTTAGAATAATCACTTTAATTTCAAGGAATCAATCATGTTCTCTTACTAACCCTAAGTCACTCCTGAAGTCTTAATTTGCCTTAGGAAAAAAATGCACTTTTTCTCTTTTTGGGGACTTCTGGCAAAATATGCTTTTATTGTTGTAAGTAAGCATAAAATAGACACATCACATTTCCTGTTCTTAGCCCAAGGCCACAGAATTGGGGAACTCTTAGCAAACAGCTGACCTGTGGGGTCCTTCTACCATGCATATGACCACAGTATATTTCAAGTGCAAAATAGCTGGAGGGGTATTAGGAGAGGGGAGTAGCCAGGGTGACATCCTGGCTACAGCTCACTACTGCTTTATTTTGAGATTGTGTCAAATATTCTACCTTTGTTACCTATATATCTCCCCAATGGCTTCTACCTTGTAATGTAGCATACTTTGCTTTATGCAACAGATAAACTTCTGAAGAGTGGAGGGTAAATTATATCAAATCATAGCTGACATGCCCTACTAAAGTGCTATCTAAAACATTTTTGAGAGGCAAAATCACAGATTTATTTTCTAATATGAATAACCTGATCTTTTCTAAGAGTTAACATTGTCATATGTGGAGTGAACTCTATAGCTTTCCCCGCCTAGTTCCAGCTAGCACCATTTACCCTAAGTCTTTCTAGAACCCGAACTTTTCTGAACAGATTTGACACTGCTCAGATGTTTGTTCTGGAAATCGAGGACCTTCTGTGTTTGCGCTGACGCTGGCTTGGTTTTGTGAAACCTCAGCCTCTTCCCTTGCAAGGGCAGTTTAGGATGGAAATGCAATTGTTTTTCAGAAATGAGCACAGTAGGGCACACACCCAAACAGAGAAAGGACTTGGGAAGAAAGAAAAAAACGCGCGCGCGCGCGCGCGCGCGCGCGTGTGTGTGTGTGTGTGATAGGGAAGCAGAGAAAAAGGGACAACTGTGTTTTCCTGTGGTGGTGGTGGTGGAGGCGGTGGTGATGGTGGGGAAAATATCTGTTCATTGGAACGCTAAACAGACAGCATAAAAATTTGATACCTTCTCTGCTGGGCAACCCTGCACGTGTCATATACAGACTAGGCGTCCGGGACCTTTGGGCAGCTGCCAGCAGCCACGCACCAGGAAGGGCTGCAGCGCCAGCGCGGCTCTGCCCACGGGTCGGGGAGGCAGTGCTGCGGTCCCGGTTGGCTTGGGGTGCGTGCGGGCGGCGGGTGGGGGTACGTGGGGGCCCGCCGGCGGCCCCCCCCCGCGGGGAGGGAACGGTTCTTACAGTCACTGCTCAGCGCGAAGGGCGCGCGGCGGCGGCCGAGGGAGCGGTCTTCAGCGGGCGCCTCGGGAGGCCTCTTACCGGCGGGCAGCGGGAAGGCGGACGCGGTGTGGAACAGCACCAGGCAGACAGCCACGACATCACATAACTTCATCTTAGAGTCCCTTCCAGCGGCGGCACCTGCGCCCGCGGGCGAGAGAATGGGAGAACGCACATTAGGCCTGGTTGCCGCCCTGGGCATGGCATCCCTGCGGGTCCTGGCGCCCGGTCCAAACTCGGCACCGCCCTCCACCCAGGCCGCCTCGGCCCAGCGGAACCCTGGGCATCCCCGCCCCCTTCCAAGTCCCCTACAGGTTCACCTCCCCCGTGCGCCCCAGGCGCGGCTGTCGCTCGGTGTCCAGCCCCAGTTGCCCTTCTCTTTCGCCACCCGATATCAGGGGGTCAGATCTTTGACCAGGGCCGCTGCCCCCCGCTAGTCCCACTACGACGACACCAGGATTCCTGACTAGTCCCCAGTACTGGTGCGCAAAGTCCACCCTGGGGGACGACCGGGAAGCCCCCTCGCTGTGTCCTCCGCCCCAGCCAGAGACTCCCCCTCCCCGCCCAGCGGGTCCCATAGCCTCCTGAAAACCAGCTCTCGACACAAGTCAGCGACTGACCTTTTATTTTAGAATAAAATTAAGCGCACCCCAGCCCGGGGGCCGGGATCCTGCTCTCAGCAGGTGGGGGCAGGCTATGTGACACCCCTCGCCCTACCTGTCGCCCCCCCCCGGGCGTCATTCTTTCCACCTATTTTGTCGTCGGAACAAGAAATTTGTAATGGAGACTTGGAGGCTTTTGGCCGGTATGGGAATATCTGTGTTAAGTTACATAACTCCCCAAAGCATCAACTCAGTTTAAAATACTAGTTCACCTCTTAAGGTTATAAACATTAAATAACGTATTTTGGAAAAGCCTAGAGGAGCATAAAGTCAGCGCTCAATCAATGGTTTAGTATTGCTGTTAGGTAGGGATTGCATTTGTCCTGAAATTTTTCATCCTTTGTGGTATACCCGAACACCTCTGGAGTTTTGCAGTTTTGCGCGATTCCGGCCCCAAATCCCTTCCCCTCCCAGAGGAGTCTCGAACTCCCCGCGCCCCGGTCAGAGTCACTCTAGGATGATTGTACCCGGGTCCCGGACGCTGCGGCGGCGCACCAGCACCCGAAGGCCTAGGCCACGAAACGCGCGGGTTGGGGGCAGCTCTTCTCAGCGAGGGGGCTCTGTTTGGCTTCTCAGTCCTCACACTCCTACAAAGGAGGGCCATGCAGCCGGGGGCGGGCGAGAAAACGGCACCATCAACTCGGGGCCAAACTCCACCTAGTTAGGAGGTGGGAGGGGGCCGGGGAACCTCAGCGTGCGGTATTACCCAGTACCTTCCCAAGGCCAGCGTTCCAGTTTCCAAGGGGATTTTCAAGTGGAAACTTCGAGATTCACGCAGTTGATTATCTCCTCTACGCCAAATAAAACGGATTCTTAGGAAAATCTCCTTGAACGTTTTCCATGGAGAGAGTAAGACAGTTTCCAGGTAATGCAAAATCCTGGGTGCCTTTCCTCTCTGTTAATGCCCAGGCTCGCCCGCCTTCCTTTCGAAGGCGGCCGCCCCTTCTCCACTCCCCCCACCACCCCCATCTCTACCTAGAACAACCGCCCGGGTGTCCGTGCAGGCCACCCGGTGAAGCGTTTAATTCGGCTGCCACCTCCAACTGCTGCGGAGACAACACGTTTTCCACCCCTAGGGCGTCCGTTGTCTCGCTGCGCAGCTATTGGACTCGGGGAGGGATTTGGTAGGGACTAGGAAGAACTCCGGGCAACCTGCAGCTCCGGGCTGGTTTACAACCCCGGGACAAATCAAAGGCTCTGGGTTGGGGCGCACCGGCCCAGGCAATGCTGCAACTAGGCCATGCAAAATGAGCGCAGCGAGGCGCGTTAGTAGAGACTGGGGGGACGCAAGCCCTCCTGCCTCTTCGCCTGGGTGCCTGTGCGAAATGGCGGGCGGCCCTGTGCAGAAGTGAGGCGCGGGGTTAAAGCGCCATTCCAAATCGCCATGCCTGCCAGCAGGAAGCGACAGAGGCACCAGATTTCCCTTCCACATTAAGAGGGTTTTTCCTCTTTTTCCTGCTTGGCCGACGGAGAGCTCTTAAAATTGGACGTGGAGATCCTCAATTAGAAGTGCGGCGAAGCTGACAGAAGAGGAAACGGTGGAAAACTCCCCGTGTCGCCAGAGGAGACTCCCAGCTCCCGTTCTCGCCCTCGGCGGGAGAGGCACAGGCCCCAAACGAGCTCTCCCACCTTCTCCGGTGCAGGGAGGGTGCATTCTCCCCTCCGAGCAGCCCCGAGGCTGGCTCCAATCGGAGCGGCTCTTTAGTTCCCGGGATTCGTTGGGCGGATGAAGAGGAGGGGGCCTGGGGGCTGGCACCCACAGAGAGTCTACCAGCACGGTTTTTCTCATAGCGCGTCTGGGCACCCCACCCAATCCCCACACCCCCTGCGGCTTCCCTGTTTGTTACTTGATCGCTTTGTCAAAGCACATCTGCCCGACGTGTTTCTGCCGCCTTTAATTTCTCAACTAGCAGCCACGTGCGGTAACCAAACTGTCGTTCAGAAGTCGGAGCCCTTCTTATACCCCACAGGCTGGTCCCCCTCAGGGCAAACGGGGGACCTCGTGGGCGCCTGAACCTGGTGGTCCCCAGGCCCGGGGCTGAAAGAACGCGCAGGGGAGCCTGCGTGCCCGCAGAGGCCGCCACTTCTGAGTTCCCAGCACCAGGGGGCACCAGAAACCGCCTGAGTCTCGTAGTGCCCACGCGGCTGGGAGGCTGCGTTGTCATTTAAAGTATTGTATAAAACCAGTGAACTAGCAATCCCCCTACAATCCTCCTCAAATCCAAATTATCCCCGGGATTTCTGGATGTCCTCACCATCATCCCCTGTTTTCAGGCCCCAACCCCTCCATCCCCTTCCTAGCCTTTCTCTTCCCACCTCAACCTGAGCTGGTTTCCCCGCATCCTGCATTTAGAACTCCCCCTCCCCGGAATCCCCGCATCATGGTGACAGTTTCCCCGCCGGTGAGTGCTCCCGCCGCCAGTGCCCTGCACCTTCCTGTGTCTGGCAGGCTAGGAGCTTTGTTTGGGCTTTGCCTTCAAGGTCCAGGGCTCAAGGAGAGAAAACGGAGGCGCGGGGCGGGGGTGAGGGTGGGGGTGGGGCGCCGTCCTGTAACTCGGGGTTTTCTTTTGCGGTAGGGACAGAAGTTGCTGAAAGATGTATTGCTCTTCTTAACTGTGCCTCGTGTCCTAGACTGTCAGAGAACTTATTCCTTAACTGTTGGGTCCAAGACTGGGGGAAGGAAAAATAATGAGGGACGCTTTCGGCAGACAGTCTGGGGAGCGGGTGTCTGTTAAAGAGCCTGAGGCCAGGTTCCACGTCTGGGGGCACCCGAATCCCTTACGAGAGTAGGCTGGGGATGCTGCGGGCTTCCCGGACACCTAACACATGTCACTTGTTGAAAAGGCGACACTGGCTCTCGCTACCCCGCCACAGCGAAGGCGTGGCGGAACAGGGAGGGCGAGCCCCGACCCCGGCCCGGAGGAAGCGCCGCAGCTCCCACTTGGAGGGCTTTACGGGAAGAGGTGCGTGCGTGAGGTTGAAAGCAGCACCTTCCTTGTAATACATACTTAAGTGTCGATTCAAAATACGGAGGAAGAGTCGAGCGAGCGCTAACGTATCAGCAGGCAGGGGCCGGAAGACTTGTTTGCCCTCGCCAATGAGGAAAATGTTGGGAGCAGGGGGTTGGAAAGCACCCCCACCTCGGGGCACGCACGTTTTGGTCTGCTGGTGGGTTTGCCACAGCTGAAACTAGGGAGGCGCCAGCAGGCTGGGGGTTCCGGCGAAAGGCCGTTCCCCGCCCCGATGAGGGTTCATTTTCACCGGGTGGGCCAGGAAACCAAACCTCGGCGAAATCAGCTCTGAGGTGGTGCAAGGTAGTGGAGGGGGTGTTATTGGGGAGGTGGCACAGAGTACAGGAAAAAAGAGGTCATTAAAATAATCACTACGATGGCCTGGCGGAGACCTTGGGAAGTTTCAAGCGTCTGTTCTAGGCGGAGACCGGGGTCCTGGACTGTCCAGGGAGCCCCTCTCCTAACCTAGACCGGCGTGGTTAGTTGGCGTTGTGGGCGTTAGGATAGAGCAAAGCGCCCGGGTTCCGAAACGGGCGAGGAATGTAGTTTTGGAAGACCGCGCCGGGAGAGGGGGCCCTCTGTTTTTAAGCTCTCAATACCTTTGCATCAGTCCCTCCAGGGCCTGCGCTTTCCCTCGGGAACAGACCAAAACTCCCAGTAATGATTTTATGCAGCTGCGTGTCCAGAGAGGATTCTCTCCGGTCGCGGTGGGTGCAAAGATGACCCCAGCCCCGCACAGTCCCGGGAATTGACAGAAGAACGTCCCGCCCAGTCGGGGAGGAAAACTGCCCCCTCGTACATTCCGGGGTCTAGAGACAGCAGGGGCACCAGGGATCTTTGCCCACGTGGAAAGGCAACCTGCCCCTCCGCAAGACCAGCCTCTCTCCGGTTCAACTTCTCTCTCTCCTCTGTCTTCTCGGGACCCTGATTCCCTCTAGTCTTTCTTCTTTCCAATTTCACAGCCTGCTCTGGGGTCCAACCGCACCCCAGGCGTCTCCGGCGGCACGCAGCCCTCTGTGCCCGCCAGCGACGTAGGCACCACCCGCCTCCTCCACCCCGGCCCGCTTTTCCGCTTACCTCGGATCTGGTCTCCGCAGACCCCCAGTTGGACATTAACTCCAGGAGACCCAAGTCCCAGCCAGTACACCCATCCGGGCCGAGGGCAGGAGCGCAGAGCCCCGCCCCACAGGTCAGGGGCACTACAAGTTCGCAATCCTGGGGGTGCTCGGGGCTGCGACGGCGCGCGGGTGGCGGCGGCCAAGGTTCCCGCCGCCGCCGCCGCGAAAAGGGCAAGGGATGCCGACAGCTCCCCCGCCGGCTCCCCGCACCCGCGGAAGCCGAAGTCCGAGCAGCGGGCGCTGCCTTGCGTGGGGGGTGACACGGCGGCGCGCGCTGCGCTTTTGGCGGGGGCTGCGCGGGCCCGGGGCGCGGCGGGCGGCTCAGCGGCAGCAGCCGCGCTCTGCGCCTTCCCCGGGCGCAGCTCCTGGGAGCACGAGTTGGGCCGGGCTGATGCTGCCGCCGAAGCTGAGGTCTTGCCTGGAAATCCGAACGAGACACCACGTCAACCAGCGCGGGGAGTCGCGTGAAGACATGAGGGCGCCAGGAGCGCAGGCTGGTCGTTGAGAGCCCGGGCCAGGGGGCCGGGGTGGGGGAGGGGAGGCGCGGGGCCCCGGGAGGGGAGGGGTCGGGAGGCGGCGGTGGAGGAAGGCAAGGAGAGCAGCGAGGAGGCGCCCCAGCTCTCGAGGCGGGGGCTCGGGGTGCGAGTGGGTGACGCGAGGCGCCCCTCCCTGGGGTGCAGGGAGAGCGCTCAGCGCGTGGAGACGCTGCGGGGCTCGCGCCTCCTCCTCGCAGGGTAGATCCGGAGGAATGTGCGGAGCTCGGCGCAGTCCAATCGAAGGGGGCAATAGGAACTTGACCGCGGCGTGCGCGCCTGGCTTGGGACCCTCGCCTGGCACTCGGAAGGAGGCGCTCTGTCGGGCGGAGGGTGTGCTGGGCGTTCCTCGCGCCTGTCGAAGGCTTTCCTTTCTCCTCGGTGTCTAGCCCTCTCGCTTTTCTGTAGGGCAGAGGGCAGTGGCCAGAAGAAGAGCTGCAGGCGGGAGTTCTCCTAGGCACGACGAGGGCGAGGTGTGGAGCAGCCAGTGAGCGAAGCCGAGTGTTTGCCAGGGGACGCTGAGAGTGGGGGTGAATTTATAGGGCTCTGGCTCCGTGACGTGCCCTCCAGTGGCTTTTCTGATTCGCTTTCTGACCTAAACACACATTACTTTAGTCCCCGTGCTGGGCCAACACGGTCTCCAAATATCTGCTGGCTGAAGTCAGAGGCTTGCATATCATGTATTACATGGCAGGCAATGAAGAAGGCTTCTGAGGCTGGCCGGCTCCTCAGTCCTAGGCTCCATTTTCATGCTGTTGTAATATAATACCAGCCATGGGGTAGGCACATACATTCAAAATCCCAATTCCAGAGGCGTAAGATCACTTTTATCAGGAGCAGGTCAGGGGGGAGGTTCGGCTAAACTTGCTTTTATCTAGATTTTCGGAAATGCAGACGGGAAAACTTAAGCGAGTGCTCCCTTGTGTGCTGAGCTGCCGGTGAGCAGGGGCCCAGCTCCCGGTCCTGATCTCCGTGAAACAAACCTTTGGGCATTCCTTTTGTTGGTTAGTTACCACCAGAAGCAGCCAGAGCCTTCTTTTGTAGAGGACAGAAGGAGGGCAAGTCCTTACACACCCCACACATGACTCTACCCATAAATATGTTTCATTCACACAGGTCATGAAATTAGCTCTACCTTTCAAATAATGTACTAAATAAGGTACGTCTTTGCTAAGCAGAAACCTGCTTTCTGGAAGCCATTGGCCCTGAATTCAGTGGGACCTCTTTTATTTTATTAGCTGGGGCCAGGGAAAGCATAAACAGGCTCCGTTTACACCCATGTACCTCTTATTTTATGACGCACCCCGTTGGTGGGGAGTATGTGTTCTTCAAGTAGCGGATGCAGACAATAGACAGGGAAAATGTGTGGCAATGTGGGGGGTACATCAGGTATTATTAAACTTCTTAAAAGTCAAAGATCAGCCACTTTGGAGGTTTGTCAGTGAAGCTAGCGTGGGAGGAAAATTGTTCTTATTAACGTTACTGTGAGTTAAGATTAAGCAGAGTGAAAACCAAGTCATCCAAACATACTTTAGCTGGAATTAGGATGCCCGCTGTAGTTCTGCAGAATGTGACACGTCCTTTGACAGAATTATGGTAGAAATGTAGATGGATTTGGAAATGGGAAGGTGGCATAAGCTTCACCTATTTATCCTAGTTTAGCTTATTTTTGGAATTTGAAGGTGACTCTAGGCAATGTTCTTACCATGAATGATTTCTTCATTTTCCGAAGGCTTTTTACTTGAGATGATCATGCCATCCAGGCACCTGCAGTGATTTAGAACTTGTTATGTGCCAGACAAAGTGCTAGACCCTGAGAACTGTGCTGACTGGGATCTGGGGGCTGCAAAGAACAGATACCGCTGAGTTTGCCCTTAGTCACAGGAGTTTACTGTGGAAGGAAGCTGACCGGAATCTCCACCACTGAGCCACGTGTCTCCGAAAAGCTTTCCGGAAAGGCCACCCAGCCAGGCCTCACGAAAACTGGATTGAAGTTCAGGAACTGGAAGGTCATTCAGGATGCGGCTCTGTGACTGGGTTATCTAGCTGCCCCCTGAACAGCAGGCATCTGCCTGCGATCCCTACTCACAGGCTTAGCCGCCAAGGTGATTTAGCTCTTCTCTCGCGCTGTTTTTCTCTGGGTGTCTCTTGGCTTCTGCTCCTACGACCAACTGCTCAGCTCTCTGTTGATCTCACATTTAAACTCCATTAGTGAAAGGATTTAATTGGCCCTGCTGGGCACTAACCAGGTGCTAGAGTTGGACTGAGCCCTTGTGTCAGGCCTCCTATGGGTTACTGGACACCCTGTAGCTCAGCAGACCTTGGTCAGGTGCTTCTTCTTGGGCTAATCACCCATGTCCACGTTGTTGGGTCATATGGTCCAGAGCCTGGCCAACTTTGCTTAAGAGACTTCCTAGGGTTCTTCCTCGACTTCCCGCCACAGGATTTGTGCCTCCATGGCAGGCACTGGGAGCTTAACAAACCTCTGTCTACTGCAAGACTCAAGGATGAATAAGATCAACTCTTGGCTCTCCCTAAGCTTGCTTACCGTCTGTAAGGAGAGGGAGACATGCACAAGTAATCATAGGATAAAGTGATAAACGCTCTAATAGAGGATATATGAGGTACTCATATGTGATCTTCACATGGCCAGTGAAACACTGGGGAGATTACAAAACATACCCATGCCTAAGGCCTATCCTTGGGCAATTAAATGAGAATTTCTTGGGCGGTGGAGCCCAGGAGTTGGTATTTTTTAAATGTTCCCCAGGTTGTTCTCAGTGTAGCCAGAGTTGAGGTATCAATTAGCTTGATCCCCCCCCCAATGATTATAATCACTTTATGATTCCTTTTTGAGAGCAAAACTATAAGAGACTCATCTATTTTGATAGGTTCTAGGACTAAGGCTCTTCCAAAATATTAAATTCCTTTCGAAATACTATTATCTTTTTTAAAAAAGATTTTATTGGGGAATTGGGGGAGGGAAACAGACAAGTTACTGTCCTTTTGTTCTTCAATCTAGTTGTGGAAGATGCTGCTTCACTGGCCCATGTTCGTGTTATGGTCATTGTGCTCTTCCTGGCTGAAGCAGTCAGTCGCCAGCCATTGGACTGCCGCTCACGGTAGCTCACTGCAGCAGGGGCTGCAGCCTACGCCGTGGCCGGCTACTCACTGCAGCCCAGCCCCAGGCCGAGCTATTGTTCACAATCTTAGCTGTAGAGGGCGCAGCATCACTGGCCCATGTGGGAACTGAACTGGTGGCCCTGCTGCTCAGAGCTCGTGCTCCCAAGCCAACTCTTAACCAACTGAGCCACTTGGCCTGCCCCTTATTAATGATCTTGAAACAGTAATATAAAGAAAAATGTAAAATTTAATTTAGAGTTAAAGCAAATACTTATAGTTTTGAAGGAACATTTATTTGCATAATTACAACATTCAGATAGCTGCAGAAAATGTGAAAAGGTCTAAAATTTTCAAGATCTCCTACTACAAAGCCCAACATTTAAATGTACGATAATTGATATCGACAAACATCTCCTCAGACTTGCCTTTATAGACAAGGAAAAACAAAGTTTCCTCCAGTGACTGCCAGGAAGCAAGCATTTAATGCCTTGGGGACAAGGGGATGGCTTGAGAGTCACAATCTCAAAGCCCCTAAATGCTGAAAGTAGGGACCACTGTAACTCTATGGCTCCATCTTCTCTTTTCTTTAGAAAACAAAGATTGTTTGGTTTGAAGGTGTTCTTTAGCAAAGTCCAGAAGAGAACAATTTGAAGCACTAGTTTTGCTCTGAATAGGTAGATTGTTCACTGACAAAGTAACAACAACACACTGCTAAGAATTCTCACATTGTCCGTGGATCTCAGCCTGTCATCGGGAAAGAGAATCTCAGCCTGAGAATCAGAAAGAGAGAAGCAAAGACTGTTCAAGCATCTCATCTCCTTTTTAAGAAAAAAGGTTCAAAATCCTTCTAATTTCCCATTTCACCATCATCATCATCTTCATAGGAATCTATTGTGGATCTCTAACTGAAGGATGTGAAATGATGGGTGCTCTCTGTGCTTGAGGATCTTATAGTCCTGAGGAAGAGAAAACACAAACATAAGATGATAAAAAATAAAAGAGGCTATGGGCTATGAGCCTTGAGTAAGTATTACCATATTTGGAACTCAAATAAGGCCTTGTTTGGGGTAGGTAAGCAGAGAGGAGGAGGTAACTTGGGGGTCATTCCAGGCTAGGTGAGTCCCTGGAGACTCAATGGTGAATGCTGCAGTTTGTAGGGGCGGTGGGGCCGTGTGTCAGCCTTTGGCCATTCACAGAGTGCCCTCGGTGAGCTCTCAGTGGGGCTCTGCAGCTGCTTTGCCTGTGAGAGCCGGGACCCGGGTCCCTGGACTCCCTCATAACATGGGTCATGACGGCTGAAACAGAATCCATCACTTGAGCAGGGCAATTTCCTTTTCAAAGTCACCACTTTATTGAGCAGGGATTTATTTCATGCTTGCTCGCTCTTTAACAGTCATTTTCGCCAATGATACTATTACTCATAAAGAAAAGATAAATTTGCTATCCTTCAGAGCACTTAAAAAAAGAGAAAAGAAAGAGAGGAAAATGGACTGTAATGGCCTTTTTTGCAAAGTAGTAGTAAGGAACAAATTCTTGGGAGTAAATTGTTTCCTCATAAGAAATCAGTTCTGACATTGACATGGTAGATTTGTCCATGATTTCCAGGGAGTTTCTTTTATAAGGATCAGATTATTTAATTATCCATTAGTGTTGATTTTGGTTCTTGAGGTAACTTGATGAGACGCATCTTTTCCAGAAAGAAACCATCAATCAGGTAAGAGGCTTACATCAGACTTTGTTACTATGCAGATGCTCTTAATGACTTAGACCTGGGGTTGGCAAACTTTTTCTGTAAAGGGCAAGCATTTTCTGTACAGATAGTAAATATTTTAGGCTTTGCATGCTGTACAGTCTCTGTTGCAACCACTCAACTCTACCCTTGCATTGTGTAGTATAAATGCATTGACAATATATAAAGGAATGGACACAGCTTATGTTCCCCTAAAACTTTATTTAGGGGTGCTGAAATTTGGATTTTCTATAATTTACACATGTCATTGATTTTTTTCCTCCCAAACAGTAAAAAATGTAAAATCCATCAGTAGCTTGTGGACCATTCAAAAGTAGGTAATGGGCAGGATTTGGATGTAGTTTGTCTATTCCAGCTTAGGGTAAAGTTGTAACTTAGAGGGGATGTATCAGCTCTAGAATTATGAAATTCCAGATCTGGAAGAGACTAGATGCTTCCAGTCCAATCTCCTCATTTTACCAGGAGTGAAAACTGAGGCAGAGAGTGGTTAAGTGCCTTATTCAAAGTTACTTTTTGAGTGAGTGACACATCCCTACTGTACAAGGAAGTGTGGGATCAAATTACTTTACTGGTGTGTGTGTGTGTGTGTGTGTGTGTGTGTGTGTGTGTGTGTGTGTGTACATGCGGTGGCAACAGGGAGTATGTGGGAGTTGTATTGTGTCATCTTTCACATTGTGATTTAATATATTTTGTTGAGGCAAGAAATGTATCAAAATAAGGGAAATCAACTGGAATCTTTACTGGTGGGAGAGGATGATATCAGACTGAATGGGGGACAGAACTTTGAAAAGTTCTCTCAGAGCATAGCAGAGCTCCCAGGAAGATCAGAGCACTAAATAGATTATTTCCCCCTCCTTTAAAGGCCATTCTATTGGGTTGTCAGAAAAGTCATGATGTATTTTTTCTATGTTTTTTTTTTGTCGCAAAAATGCATCATGACTTTTCCGACAACCCAATAGTTCTGTGATTGGCTTTTAGACAGCAGATACACAGGATCTCATCACAAAGGCACAAGGCTATGGAGAGAGAGAGAGAGAGAGAGAGAGAGAGAGAGAGAGAGAGAGAGAGAGAGAGAGAGAGAGAGAGAATGAATTTGAGTAGGGAATCAAGATACCTGTATCCTATTTTGTTTGTAGACCATTTAGTACCTGTTGCAAAGTTTTTGGTACCTTCCTAAAGAATTGAAATTCACAGGCGATAGGAAAGATACTGCCACAGAGGATAGTTGACTTTGGGACAAGGACTCAGGATTTGGACCTTGATGCCAAAATGTTCCAAGGGACCTTTTTGCCATGTATTAACTGCACAATACAGACTTCAATCTAGACTCTTTTCCTCTTCTTTAGAATAGAGGAACTATTTGACCATTTTCAAGTCTGGCAACAAAACAGTATGACAGCCTCTCTTCTCCACTTTCCTCAGTGTGGGAAAACCAATTAATCAACCAATGAATCCTCATCAATATTTGTGGGTTTAATAGAAGCAAGTAGTCAATGCAAGTGTGAATTCTGTGGTCCCTTAGTAGTTTCAAGCAACTACCCAACTATCCTTCACTGAATTAGCAGGGCTGAGCCTAGGGGGAGGCAGCTGAGGCTTTTAATTTTGCATTGTATGCACCTCACTATAGTCCTCACCCCGATTAGCAGAAACTTCAAGTCGAGAGCCCCAAATTCTGAAACCATTAATTAGGAGGAAGTCATGCCCATGATCAGGCAATATGTGTTGAACCTCTGCCCCGACAAGTTGTGGGAGCTTGGGAAACTTCTAATATCCAGCATCACCTATTTTTCTCTTCGTGCTTTTTCTCTCCCTCACTGGGATACTGTGTGAATAGATGAGATAATAAACCAGATTTTCTGAGTTCATAAATTACTCCCTGGGAATAATTTATATCCCACATATACTTTCTGGTCACTGGGGTACTATTCGGTAAATTGCTGCCCTCCTGCAGTGCTTTAAGTGGAACCCTAGTGACCCCAAAGAGTTAACGCCTCCCTCTAAGCAATTCGCTTACTCCTGGGGCATAATTTACACTCTGAGAGGACCTTGCTGACCATATGTGAAGTGCTCGGAGTTCTTTGAAAGAAAGTCGGCCCTAGAAATGTAAGGAATTAATATTACAAAAGGCGCATTTATAGCCCATTTTTCAAGGAATCCATCATGTAAGTTTTCCCAGAACAATTCTGTAAGGTGGGTCATTAGTATCCTTTCCAGAGTCATCCTCTAGCCAATGAAGGATCAGCTCATAACATACCCAACATGAGATTAGGGAATAACATATTTGGAAGATGACTTCATTATTTGAAAAATAATGGGTGAAAGATTGGGAAGTGCATTTCAGAAATCTGAGCAAAAAAACAAAAGCTGCAAGTAAGGTAAATGTAATGAAGTTTATCTGCTTTACAATGTTGAACAGTGCAGAGATATGACAATAGAATGGATCAATTTTTTATACAAACACAGGAGCACTTTCCTATTAAAATTATCAAAATGGCCACCTGAGGAGACTATCTGCATATCCTAATATGCAGCTATTGCTCAAAACACTTTTATGATGGATTTGTTCATTGAGTCAATAAGTATCATCTAGACATGTCCCTTCTTAAGGTCCTGTGTTGGCAGTTATCAAGGGATATAAAAAGGCACGAGGTAGCATCCCTATATTCGGTAGTGACAATTGTCTGGATGGGTTTAATCTGGGGCAAAGACCAAATCATCTGAAATAAATTCTAGCGAAATAGGTGGGTTATAACCACGAGAAGGTAATTTAGACTGTTCTTCTGGTATGGCGTGGTGGTAAACTGCAATGATGGGCCCAGTTCTTCACCCTTCTCTGTATTCATGCTCTTTGCCATATGACTTTGCAGATTCTTTTACTAAAGATGGTGTCCATTTCCCCATACCTTGAATACGAACTGGCACTGTGACTTGTTTTGGCCAGTGGAAAGCCATGGTAGTGAAGATGGGCCACTTTTGAACCTATGACCCAAGAGACTAACATGGTTTTACTTACTCTTGCAAACCTCTGCCATTATCACAAGAACATGCTTGGGCTAGCTCGACCAAGAAGAGACACTTGTCGCTTGGATTGTCACAACCAAGGTCAACGTAGATCATTTGACAGCCAGCTGACTCCCCTGCTCCAGACATGTAGGTGAGCCTAGTAAAGATCAGCAGAGTTGCCTTTCTGACCACTCCAGATAGATGAGCTATATATACTTCTTGTTGTATGGTACTGGGTTTTTGTGGTTGTTACACAGCACAGTTATGGTAGTAGATAACGGAAACAGCTTATAAACTGATTCCAGAACTCCCAATACTGAACAAGAACAATATTCCTGGAATACGTGGTGTCTCCAGGTGACTGCAAGGAGGCTGTAACAAACCTTTGGGGATATATGTCCCAGTGTTTGTTGGGCACCCATCCTCTGTTCGTACTGTACTTTGTGCTCCTTGTATGGGGTTGCTTGATGCATACCAAATGTTCTGCAAGGGCAGGAACCGCTTTTATTTTAATTTTATTATTTTTTTTTGCATCCTTGGCATCCAACACATAAATGGTATTTGTTAAGTGGGGAAAAGTGAAGAATTTAGTTAGAAGTCATAACTTGCATTGTGTACTTTTAGTAACTTTGGTCTATTCACAATGTGTTTGGTGTGTAATAGGTAATCTTAAAAACTTAATTAATGAGCGCAATTACTTGACTAGATTATACATGCATGTGTTGCACCTTTCAAAAGACGCAAAGGCATTTTCAGTGCTAAGTGATTCCTTCTCTCATGCCACCTTCAAGCCACCTATTTCCCTGGTAACACAATTACTAAATTCCTATTAATTCTTCCAGACAATGTACAGTCATTAAAATAAAGCTTTTGTCTAGGAAAGAAAGAATATTTCCAATCATTATATTTTAAAAGTCTGCGCATTTTACAATCCCTTTTCTTTTGCGTGGTTGGGCCTCTTGGATGTAGCCTTAGGTTCTTTTCTAGCATGTTGGGAGGGTTACTCCTCCTGAGTTTGTTCCTTTTTGATTCAGCAACTTTTCCTCAGCTTGTGTTGAGGCTTGAACAGTGCTGAAGTTAACGCAGCTGTTTGTGTTTACTTCTTTGCTTGTGTGCTGTTAGCTGCTATCACATGAGATGCCAGCCCAGGGGCCTGGTAGTTACCATGGAACCAGGCAGCAGAAGGAGCAGATAAACTCAAAACATTGAGTTCTGTGGGTGACAAGGAGCCAGGAGTTCTGAAGCCCTAAAAAGTATCTTTTATCATGGAGGACCCATGCCTCTACTGATGATAGTGGGGTGAGTATAATTTTAATTTAAAACGCTTAAAGGAACCTTTACAAACTAGCCTGTTGCTTCTGCTTTATAACAATGCAAATTTGTACACTGTGGCCAAATCATGCTGGCATAACCAGGTTGGCTGGAATAGAGCTGGCATTGTAGCTTTTAAAGCGTGCTTGAGGGGTTCTATGAAGTGGTTTAAACCAAAGCCACAAAAATGACAAAAAAAATTTATTTTCAGATGAATTTTAGTAGACTGCCGACTCTTAGCATGTATGCGCTAAAGATGCATACTTAAAAAAAATCTATTTTGACAATTAGGAGGTTTAAAAATATCCCTCCTCATGATTCGTGGCATTTCAGACCCAACTAATTTGGGAGCACAAAATATGTGCTAGGTACTGTTTTAAATGTTTGTATTTATAATTTCTCATCCAGTGAAATATATTGTTCATTAACTATGATGTTAAAAATAGCAAAAGAAAAAAAACCAATTAGGAAATAAAGTGATGTATTTGTTTCATATCTGCCTTTTACGGTGTGTGGAATCTTGGTTTGCATGTCATGGTTGCCCATAATCTCTTTATAGAGGATGTCTTCTGTACCCTTCACACTGGATTCCGCACGATTCATTTACACGCATCGGATGGCCACTCTCAGATGAAAACCTGCTGCAGAGTGGCAGGCGTGGGATGTTAGTTTTTACTTTATGACTGAGGTACTGTTTCATCAAAACAGTGTTTCAAACAGATGTGTCCTGGTGTTTACTGAGGGGGAGAAGTTAAGCCAGACTGATTAATTAGCAGTTAGTCAAGATGTTTCTCTACTCCTATCTGGAAGTCTGGGGATTATGAAGCTGTCAGTAGGTTATATTCAGAGGATGAAAAAAATGACAGCAAACCAAACCTCAGATCACTATGCTAGCGTGTAAAATATGGTGTTTTTACCGCCACTACATGGTTTTTATTGAAACATGAATTTTTTTGGAGTGTGCATGATAGGACTAACACAGAGGTCATCATACTTTTTCTGTAAAGGGTCAGGCAGGTAGTAAGTATTTTAGGCTTTGTGGGCCATATAGTCTATCATAATGACTCAACTCTGCAATTGTATCACTAAAGCAACTGTAGACAGTATGTCAATGAATAAGCATGGCTGTATTCCAATAAGACTTTACGTATGGACACTAAAATTTGAATTTCACATAATTTTCCTGTGTCACAAAATGTTATTGTTCTTTTGATTTTTGTCAGGCCATTTAAAAATGCAAAAAGAATTCTTAGTTTGCCAGCTGTATTATTTCACCCATGGACCATCATTGGCCAACCTTTGGCAAAGAGTCTTAAATCAGTTTTAGTCCTTCAGTTCTTTTTGTTTTATATATACAAGACTAATTCTTTTTTAAATCTTAGTTTTTATATTTGTTAAATAAGGAATAATAGTAGCTGCTCTGTCTCTTCCCAGAATTGTTGGCAGGATTGAACGATGTGATGGATGTGACAGTATTTTGAGCAATGTGAAGTGCCACACTGAGATAAGCTATTGACTATGTTATGATTTGCATCAGGAATGTGTTTGGTTACAGGTAGCTGAGAACTGGCTTAACAGTGGCTTAAACCCATAAAGACATGTATTGTTCACTTACCAGGATGTACAAGGTCCCAGAATTGGTGCAGTGGCTCCACAACGTCACTCAAAACCTGATGTTTGCTCTCTATATTTTGCTAAAATCCATGTGTTGGTGATACCTACTTTCACAGTCCAAGATGAGGTCATAACTCTACAAATCATGTTCTCACATGACAGTGTCCCAAACAAGAAGGAAGAAGGGAATGGAGAGAAACGGGGTTTTCTTCCAGCTTTCTCTCCTTCCAGCGAGAGGAAAGTCCTTCCTAGCCCTCCCCCAGCAGGCTTCTTTTCACATCTCACCAATCAGAACTGGTTCACTCACCCATTCTAGCTCAGTGACTGGCAAAGGGCAATTGATGTGCTCGGCTTATAGTCCAACCATGAATCAGCTTCTGGACTTGGGTACAGTGCTGCCTGGACATTCAGGGTTCCACTAGCAAGGAAAATGGGGGAGCACCTAATGGTGTGTGCCACCCTATTTTCCTACCCTATTATGAGTTGTGTGGCTGTCAGGTTGGGGGTGTAGCTGATGAGCTAATTCCCTAAGAATGCTCAAAGAAGAATCCTTCAGGTGCCACACAAGCTGTCCCCACATGCACATACAGACAAAACCATTGTAGTGGGCTGGCAGAGTCTAGCTAGGAGCTGAGACTGCATGAGTATGGAATGTCCACATCAACCTGTGTTAACCTGAGAAGGAAGCAGAAAAAGGGAGGAATCTGAAGGTCATCTCCATAGGGCTTCTGGAACATACTAGAAAGAACCAGTTCAACCCTCATCTAGTATACTTTATGATGATAAAATGCTCCACAGTCTTTTTTTTTCTGAGGAATCCCTGTATTGTGTAGTCAAGTACTGGAAGTACCTTTGTAGGTGTGTCTCATTTTCAAAAAGCTCAGATTAAAAATATGGACTCACAAAACACAAATTGGGAGTTAAATAATCTAAAGTTTAAATACTTCATTTTATAGAAAAATTTACTTTAAAATACCTTTAAATGGTGAAATACTTTGGTGCACTTTAAATGATTTTATTGATAAAAATATGATTTCCACATACTTTATGTGTTTTCCAATTGCTGACTGTATATTTGGCCCATAGACCATAGTTTGCTAGCTGTTGGCAGAGTCTTGAATCAATTTTAGTCCTGGTTCTTTTTTTTATTTTTATAAAAGACTAATTCTTTTTTAAATCTTAGTTTCTAAATCAATAATTTATCATTTCTATGTAAAATATGTGTTTGGACACCCCCCCCACACACACCTATTGAATTGCATTGAGCTATGTAGACCTATAAATTAATTTAAAAAGCATGAGTAAAATAATCTTGTAGAATAAAATTATCACTGATCTGAACTAAATTAAACATGTCAGGGTTTCAGGGTACCAGGGTAAATGGCATTTTCCAAGGAATTAAATACCTACTTCAAAAAGAAAGTCTTACACAAATTATACACTCTGTACATACAAGTCAAGTCTCGTTACAATGCAGAGATTCCTACATTGTGTGGAAGGGTTGAATCAAAGGTCCCTCAAAACTCAAAGAATCTTTCGTTTTGTGAGTACCATTTGACCTTCAAGGTCACTTCTTTTCTTAAATACTGCAATTCTATAGTTATAGTAGAAATGTCTGTAACCAAGTTCCAAGCTCATAACCCACTGTTCATAGATTCACCTATTCATTCGTTCATTTCCTTCCCCACCCCCGCTCTCTAGATGGTCCCTGCTGTTACGGAGTTTACAGACTAGAATGAGGGGATCAACACAAACATCTATGTGATTATACTGATGAATGTGTAAGTACATAGAGATTAGTGCTCTGAAGAGAGGAGCACTGCACTGTGAAAGGATAATGAGAGAACCTGAACTTGACTGGGGATCATAGAAGGCTTCTCAAAAGAAGCAATGCTTGATCTGAGAACTAACATGTGAATAGAGTTAATTAATGAAAAAGGTAGATTGGGATGGAAGTAGCATTCCTATCAGAGGTACAGTGTTTATGTTTGCCTGTCTGTCCACCTGTCCATCTACTCATCATCCATCCATCCATCCATCCATTTTACAAAACGGTATAGTACCAAGTGATCATAGAGTTGCAAACAAGTAGAAATCGTATCTGTTTTCTAAGTCTACAAGTCCATTTGTGAGACCAGAGAAGTACATGTTAAAAAAATCTTCAGAAAATGTTAAGGGGTTAAGTGATAATGATGTGAGGCAGTTTCAGCCCTTACTCTTGGTCTTATTGTTGTGGGATTTGCCTGAGTGAACACCCAGAGGCAGCTCTCCCAGGTGTGGACCTCACTGCTTTTTTCCCATGGAGAAGGTGCAGAGTGCAGAGGATAAGACCCATGTGCCAGCAGCCTAGCACGGCTTCCATGGGAACTGCAATCTGCAGTTAAAAATTGAAGCAAAATCCTGCATTAACAGGGGAATTTATCTAATTTTAGAGTGAATTACTTTTTTTCTAGTGCTTTTAGGATCACCCGAAAAGCAAAATTCAATATTTAAAAAAACGGGAATTAAATGGGTATCTATTCTGCACAAAGAGATTCCACCATCTCATTGTGACCTCCCAGAATATGGCTGCATGTACATCAGAGGTAGATTGTGGGCTGGTTTTCAGTGATTGATTAGCAAATTTCCATTTACAGTTGTCGAGTTGATGGTAAATGTTCCACCGAGTTCACAGAATCTTGGCCTTCGGTTTATACCTGGAATGAGCTTAGAGATCCAGTATAACTCTCATCTTACACAAGAAGAAATCGAAAGACAGATGGGTTAAGTAACTTTTTTTTCAAGTCACTTAAACATTGATGCCGCACATCACTCCACAGGGTTTTGAGATGGCTGTATAAGCCGTACAAGCTGGATCTAGGATCTTCTAACCCCTGGTTTAGTGTGAGGGGCTTTGAAGTCTGACTCTGCACTCAAATCCTTGCTACTTACTAGCCTTGTGACCTTGGAAAAATTCTTTAACTTCCCTAAGCCTCGGTTTCCTCACCTATAAAAGGGGATAACACTTCTAACTACCTTACGGCACTGTTGTGAAGATTTGAAGATTAACATGTGTGAGAAGAGTCAGGCCTGTAGTAAATGTTTTGCCACATGCCTTTGGCCAACAGAAAGAGGACAGAAGTGACGTATGTGTCTCTTCTAGGTGGGAGTTCATTAGCCTTGGCTAGTTCCCTCTGTTGTCTGGTGCTCCTAAACTCAACTGTGAGAAAACCAGGTCCTGGGCAGTCAGTCATTGCAGGGACAGGAGAGAGATGAAAGAAATCCGAACTAGAATGACTAATGTCACCAGGAACATTCTTATACAAGCCTTTTTTGTGGGCATATGCATTTATTTCTTTTAAACAAATACCTAGGAGTAGAATTACATTAAAAGTGGCCAGTTTTCCAAAGTGGTTGCACCATTTTACACTTTAACTAGAAACATGTGAGAGTTTCATTTGCTCCACATTCTCACTCACATTTGCTATTGTCAGTCTTTAATTGTATCCATTCTGGTGAGTGTGTAATGATATCTCATTGTTGGTAGCCTACTGAGTTGAAAAAAGTTTCTTGCTTGTTTGCGAATTTCTAACACTGGCTTCTAGGTCCTCTGTTTCACCCTTAAGGGTAGAGCACAAAAAGTGTGACTAAGTCCAGACCCAGACTTGTTACTCAGCCTTGCTCACCTACAGCACCAACTGGGAATTGGCCAGACCAAGCACCACATCCCACAGAAACACCCAGTTGTTTCATGAGTAGTTGGTGAACCTTCCAGGTGGCCACACTTTAAATGTCAGAGCTCCTGGTCCTGATGTGACAAATGTCTATGTGATGCAGAGGTATGGGAGGCCTCTTCTACACCTTCTGTTTTTTAATGAACAGCAAAAATTGATCTTTTTACTGGACTAAAATCACATTGTCTTTGTGTAGCTCATAGAGGGCTTTGCCAGGGATGGAGAGCACAGATGGTAACTACAATGAGCTTTCTACATCACCTTTCTCTCCTTCTGCTGCCCTTTCTACTTCTAGTTCTACTTTCTCCCCTTCTGCCTGCTTTCTTTCCTTTTCTTCTCCTCTCTCTCCTTTTTCTTCTCTTCTTCCTTGTTTTTCTCCTTTGAGCAACTGAACAAGAGTTTCATGAAACATCTGAACACAAATTGGAAATCCAGAGAAAAATTCAAACCCTTGGATCATCACGTGTATGCCCTAGTCCCTTCTGAATGTAATATAGTCCTGGTTTATCTCATATATCGTTTTAATGTGCATATTATTAAAAGTTCTATTTTGTCCTGCTATCGTTACTTCATGTAGCTATTTGCATATTTCTAGATAACCCTCATAATTATGATTCCTAATGTTGACCTAATAGTCCATATATTAACACACCAGCCTGCTAAGCCCTTTCATCTAATGGTAATACAATGTTCTAGAGTATGGATGTAGCAGAATTTATTTGAGCAATCCCCTTTCATTGGATAGTTATGTTCCTTATAGCTTGAAGCATTAATAATAATGATATAGAAAATATTCTTTTCTAGAAATATTTATCTGCATTTCTACTTTTTTCCTTAGGCTTAATTTCTAGATGTAGAATTAGAGTCGAAAGGTAATGGACTTTTTAAATGTTCTTTCTACACGTATAATGTTCTAGAAAATAATGTTCTAGAAAGACCCAACCAACTTTGTTACTAAAATTAATATATGAGAATGCCTATTTCATGACAAATGAAACTTTTAGAAAATTGTATAATTAAACAAAACAAAAATCTTTTTATTACGAAGCAGTACTTATATCTGCTTCCAAAACCTCAGTCTTACAGAAGTGCATGTTTGTTTCTTTAAATATTAGGATGAATACTGGACTACGTTTGGGCATCTACCTTCTCGTTTGCAGGATTTTATAGTCAGTGGTAGATATTGCCGAGTCAGGTCTGTGGTACGGTCAGTGACAGTAGCCAACATTTTCAGTGTGCCTTCCTCAACAGCAGTCCCCTGGTGGGTTCTCCCTTCCTTCCTCCATCTTGGTGGTCAGTAGTGCTATTCCCCAAATATTTCTGGCTTTTTGACTTCCAGGCACAGGGCAAAATTTTACTCCCTGGCCCTCCGGTAGTTGAATGACTAGTAGTTGGGCCATATGACTAGTTTTGGGCAGTAAGATGTGAGTGGAGGTGAGGTGCGTCACCACCAGATCAAGCTGGTCATTGCTGATGTGAGGTTGTTCAGACCTTTCTTTCCTCTTCCACGTGGCTGGCTGTATATGAGGGAGATGTAGTGGAGTGGGAAAGATGCCTGTTTTTCCGTTGAGATTTTGGTAGTGTTTGCTACCACAGCACAAACTAACGTGTTCTAAATGCAATACCGTCACCTTCCTGACATTTATGAGGGACTCCCATATATCCATCATATAGTCCTAAGGCCTTTGCCCTGACCCTACTGGTTGGGAGTCAATAGAAATAGATTTGAATCTCGAGTTACATGAGTGACACAAAACGGTTCTGTACAATTACCACTTAATTTTTAAAAACCCTAGTTGATGGCAAGGAAACAAAAAATAAATACCTTTGTTTATTCAGAGAGTTTCAAGAACAAATAAGTTGATAGTTGCAGGAGTGGGGGTGAAGGCAGTGGGAAGAGAAGAGATACTGATGGCCAGCTCAGAGAGAGATGGAAGTCTGACCTTTATTACTCAAGAACCTGCCAAAAGAGGTTTCTGCCATGCACACAGATAGGCAGGGTATGCGAGAAATGGCAAAGAAACACATGCCCAGTGGAAACTAATGCCCCTTTTAAACAAGCCGAGCGGCTCTTGATGCAAGGCAGTATGGTCTTGCTCCTCTGTTTACAGAGGAAACCTTTCATGTAAGCGTGATATATCGAGGATTTAAACCATTGAGGTCCTTTATGCTAACAGACCATTCGTCTTGAATTTTCCAGGTTTCCAGCTTGTCTTCAAGGAGTACACCATTGACTCTGAAATTAGCTATTGTATGGACAGATACATTACAGGTCTCTAAATTATCAGGCTGCAGGAACTTGTCATTCCAATACTTCAATGAAATCTCGCTTTCTTTCAGCCCTCCCTCCCTTCTATCCTGAGCTGTTGTCACACAGGCCATTTCAGATCCCTTTTGCTTTCAGATGTCAGAGCCCCTGCTCCTCCTTGCGTTTCTTTAGCGCCAACATTTCAGGCTACCATTCCCTAGTTAGCTTTCTTTTTTTCTGTGATACATCCGAACCTTGGATTTTCCTTGAAGAAAGTGGGTCTTCTACTGTAGGAGTGGATGGCTTCCCAAATTGGGCTCAAGGGCCTTTCTTTTCAGACTTTTTGGGAGCTAAAACACTTTGGTTGCTGAAGCGTGCGTGCGTGTGTATGTGTGTGTGTGTGTGTGTGTGTGTGTGTGTGTTCTCTGCTGTCACAGAAAAGACACAATATTTAAATTAAAGCAAGTTGAAGTCTTGTTTAAGAATGCTTGAGAATTTCCCCAAAGCGGTGTCCCAGGCTGGCATCAACCAACCTGAAGTGGGAATTACTTTCCTGGAAACACTCTGGAATAAAACGTTTTCCCCTTCTAGAATGCTTTCCTTCTAGCCCAGTTTCCTTCTAGTCTGTAACAGTTTATCATCTGACTCACAATCACCAGGGTGGAAGTTACTGTGCAGATTCCTGAGTTACACCCTAGACCAGGGGTCTGCAAACTGAGGCTCGCGAGCCGCATGTGGCTCTTTGGGTATGTACAAGTGGCTGTGAAGTAAAATTGAAAATGAAAATAAAATTATCATAGTTTCAATTATAAAAGTTTTAAAGTCTATTATTCACATAATGGTGATTTCATTTGTTTTATGGCTCTCAAATAATTTTTAAATTGTTGTGAGGGACAGGGTTGGCTCTTCTGTCTCAAAAGTTTGCCAACCCCTGCCCTAGACCCACTGAATTAGAGCCTGTGGGGGCTGGGAGCCAGAACCCTGCATTTTCATGGCCTTAGAACCCCTACCTCCTAGCAGATCTCCCACTAACTGGAGAGAATCTTCTATCTGCCTCACCTGCAACAAAGCCATGGACTCTTCCGTCTCAGAGACAAGGGCTGATGGGAGGGAAGACACCATCCTGCCTCTTCCAAAACTCTCCTGTGTGGCTGGGCCTAGTGTTTGCGAATGACAAGGTCATGCAGGAAGGTCAATGGACAAGACTTAGGAAATACACAAGGAGTGAAACACAGATGTCAGAGCCTCTTCTGGTCCGGGATTAGGGAACTAAGCACCATTTAGTTTTTTCATTCATTTGTCCTCAGATATTTACTAAGTGTTTACTCTGTGCCAGGCACCAGTCTGGCTGCATTCCACCAAACTTTGCATCCCTCAGTTTTTGTCAGATATGAAAAATGAAGCTGAGGTTTAAGTTCCAATTAGGCAGGACCGGCAAAACAATTAGGAGAATGAAGATAAGTCTTGCCTTTTCTCTCTGTGTGCATACCTTTGTGT